GATTTAGAGACGAATCTACAAACATTCCTATTTGCTCATAGAGCATTCCCCCAAACTGTAATAAAATAATTCCCCCGCGGAACTGCTAATGAAGAGAAGTTTAAGATCAAGATTCTCGAATTTAATACCAAGATGGGAAATCCGCGAGAGGTATTTCATGGGGCCGTAAGAAGGCAGGAGCAGTTTACTACAGGTTGCGAGGTTTATTTCCGCAACTATGCAACTGGACCTAAACGATAAAAAGGTACCATTTTGAAATTATTGAGCTACCGTCACTACCTTATATGTTGCGAGGGCGTCGTGTATAAGAGGCATATCAATCAATTGCGACCTGTGAGAAAGAAACAAGTGGAGACAAGAAATTTGATACTTCCTCGAACATCAGGAGAGAAGCCTGTAGGTGGAAGTCAGAAATAAAGTGAAGAGGAGGTTCCAGAGGTTACATCAGGAAACAAGGAGGAGACTGCTTCTGTGCACGTACCCTCTTGCACTCCTAGACCAGGACCTGTTGCTGTGCACGTGCTCTCTTGCACTCCTAAACCGGAGCCTGCCGCTGTGCAAGTGCCCGTCCGCAGTCCTAGACCTCAGAGAGCCAGGAAACCCCCAGACCGACTGGAGTATTATTAAGGGGGGGAGATGTGTTGTGTATGTAAATATATGAAGATTATTTGCATTCTTTAAAGTCTCATTATGTAAGAATATATGTGTATATAAATTGGACATTTTTTGTTGGCCAAACGAAAAGAATAAGAGCTAAAAAAAGAGTCATGGTCAAGTTTGAGTTGTTGTACATCTAATTTCGACACAACCTTAACAACATCCATCCTCACTGAAGATACAAAGGTTGCCTGTTATGCAGATTATATAGCCATATGGTACACAAGTAGCAGTATATAAATATCAGAAAAATACTGAACACATCAATGAGAGGACTGGAGAAGTGGGCAATGAAACTCAAAATGACAATAAACCCAATAAACACAAACCTATAGGTCTCCTTCACTGACAGGAAAAAAGGCGTGAATTTAACTACAAAATAAGCATAAACAACCATATAATTGATAACATTTGATCTCCAAATTACCTAGGTGTGATACTTGATGAGGAATTGCGATTTACAGAACACATAACACTGGTCAACAAGATTTTTGCACAAGAGAACCAGATTATGTTTCTAGTGTAGCTTTTCATGCTGAACTCAAAAATCTAATCAGAAATTTCCCATCACGTATGGTTTTTGCGTGACGGTCTTTTTTTAGTATTGGGATAAATACACTAAAAATTGCAAACAATGTCACGTAACTGGTTTATCAAAAAATATTTTTCTTTGTCCACAAAGAAATAGCATCTTATCTACATGTCCTGAATCCAAATATACCATAAGTTTTTTTCTATTACACAATATTTCTGAGATACACCTACTTGAATTTGGAAATATTGTTAATATATAGGCATATATGAACGAAACATATTTATTATTGAAAAGCAGTGACAGTGGATTTTATTCTATACTTTGCTTGTGGTAGATCCCTCTTGAGTGCCCAGCAGTCGTCGACAAGCATAGCGGGACTACATTTACCTTTGTCCGCTTCTCAATGCTTGATATAGCTTGATGAAACCTCTCACCATGCTCATCGCTAACTGCGCCAAGATTGTCTGGAAAGAAATCTAGATGTGAATGCAGGAAATGGATCTTGAGGGACATGTTACATCCCAGTGCCTTGTAGGAAAGCAACAGATCATTAACTATGTCTCAGTAATTTTCAACCTTGACATTTCCTAAGAAGTTTTTGCAAACGTTTCTAAAGGAATTCCATGCTGCTGCTTCAACTTCATTCAAACTATTTTGAAAATTTCCATCCTGCTGCAATACTCGAATCTGAGGTCCAACGAAAATGCCTTCTTTAATCTTCGCTTCACTTATACTAGAAATTTTTGTTTTAGGTAGGCAAATCCACTGGCATATTTCGATCCATTGCCTTGTCAAAGTTCTTCATTAATCCCAGTTTAATATGTAATGGTGGTAAGTAAATATTTTCTGAATCGATCAGGGGTAGATTTGCAATATTTTTATATCCTGGAGTAAAGATTTTACGGTTTTGCCAGATTTTTTTAATGTAATGCCTTTCCCTATCTCTGCTATCCCACTCACACAGAAAACAACAAAATTTTGTATATCCAAGCTGTAATCCACTCAAGAGAGCAACGACTTTCAAATCGCTGCATATTTTCCAACCGTATCTTTCATATTCTATCTTTTTCAAAAGCAGTTTCATGTTTTCGTAAGTCTCTTTCATGTTGGATGCATGTATTTATCCCAATACTAAAAAAAAGACCGTCACGCAAAAACCATACGTGATGGGAAATTTTTGATTAGATTTTTGAGTTCAGCATGAAAAGTTACACTAGAAACACCATCAGGTTCTCTTGTGCAAAAAAAAAGTTTTTTTTTGTAGACTGTAATTATAATTAGCACCGCAAATAGAGCTACCAGAAACCTAAACATTCTGAGAAGGCTATGTGGAACAAATTGGGGAGCAAAACCCAAAATTCTCAGAACAACATATATCACCTTAATAAGGCCAATAATGGAATATGCAACACCTGTTTGGGCTCCCCCAAGTTCATCAGTAAAAAGAAGACTAGACAGTGTTCAAGCAAAAGCGGCCAAATTAATCACTGGTTCTGTTTCAAATACCAACAATTAGAAAATTCAGAGAGAATGTGGTCTAGACCTACTCGAAAGCAGAAGACAATTAAAAACAATAAAATTCACCAATAGCTTAAAAACTAAAGAAACCGAACACATATTCCAAAGAACCTATTTAAACTGGACACCAAAAGAAAGGCTCAAAAGATCTTCAACACTTCAGTACGACAACAATATTAGAAAGAGCATAAATATGAAACATAATGAATTTCAAATTCGAGAATAACCAATATTTCCTACCCCATTGGCATCAAATGTAATCATCAATCTTAACCTGAAGGAACCCTGCAATAAAAAAAAAAGAGAACAAAAACATACTTAAAAAGAAAGGACTTGACACAATTGGTTTATGCGATCAGATAAATTATTTAACAGCATATACAGATGGATCATCAGACCTTACCATAAGTAAAGGAGGGGCTGGAATTAACATAATACTGCAAGATGGAACATACATCAAAATCAAAGAAGGAGCAAGAAAGATTTCGTCAAACTTCACTTGTGAACTGACAGCTATCTGGAAAGCTTTTGATGTATGCCTTAACCAACCATCCCTGCATCAAGCAGAAGGAATTATAATATACCGTACAACGACACATATCCGATCTAGAAGCAATTCAGAAGGGCAATACTATAATCGCACAGAAAATACATTCGTTACTTACTCAACTGATATCATTGGAGAATAACTGCATTCTACAATGGATTCCTGCCAGTGTTTGGATCGGGGGTAATGAAATGGCAGTTGAATATGCAAAAAAAGCCAGAAAGTTGAGCCAAAGAAAAGAACAAATGTCATTATTTGACGCTAATGCTTTTGCAAAATAAAAGATAATTAAACAAAAAATAAGAAAAGATCAAAATGTGAAATAAACTCCGAGAGAAAAATGACAAAACTATAACAAGATTTAGAACAAAACATTATAAAGGATGACAATACATCCAGATGGCACAAGAACCTATAGAACATGCAACAACTGTCCTGGTGTGAAACTAACACCTACTCACATATTCTCATGCCCGCAGCCTTGCAGAAAATTGACATAGACCCAGAGCAGCTGCTTTACACACCCAAGATAGTGGACAATGCTGCTGCTGTAATAGAGATGCATGGGGACACCTGAGGCTCTTTATTGAACACGACAAAAACAACAACGGCATTCCAGAGTAAAATAAATCATCAGAGATAGATAAATATTTTTCAAATGAATTAAAATAAATATAATCGATACTGAGAAAGAGTTGAATTAAAAAAATAGAAATTTATTATTTTCGAAATTCAAATAGCTGAGAGGAATCCAGCAAACCGCATCTAAAATATCATTTTTTTGCTACATGTTTTAATTTGCATATACCTATTTTACATATCTCAGATTGTATTTAAAAATCGTTAACCATTTCTTCTAACGTTTGGCGAAATGGTGTTTTATTAATTTATCATTGATATTATTAGGGTTCTTTCCTGGTATTCAAAAAGGAAAAATACGTGTCGTTCAGTTATATTTTTCAATTTATCAAAAATTTGGCCGCTGAATCGCTGATTCTGGTAGAGCGCCATCTAGCGAAAAAAGTTGTAACTAAAATCAATTTCGAATTTTTCATTATTTGCCATAAAAAATCCCATTGCATCCTGAACACAATGGTGTTTACCGCATTGCTCTAGCGCAAATATTCGCGGAGTTATTAATTTTTAAAGTTGTGCGGGACTTTTGGATCACCCTGTATAACGAATGAAGACGCGAATGTTTCTTTTTACAAATAAATTAAACTTCTACTGTCCTTACTGCGATGAAAAAATATTGGGAGGACTTGGTTCATCAGTGGTGAACCCTCCCAGCGGTTTCGCTCCAAACTGCTTCTATAGAGCTCAGTTGGCACGCCTTGAGGCAGGATGTGGTAGGGCGTGGAGGGTCAGCCTTAGGGAGACATCTGCGTCGTGTTCCGAGAATAATTTGGGCCGCAGGTCAGCCCAGGGAATAGAACGTCCATTGCAGTAGCCCAGCGCCCCAAGATCTTTCACAGTAGGCGCCTGCAGACGTGCTAAGTCCACTGACCGCCGAGATAGAGAGAGAGATTGCCAACAGAAGAGTAAATTAACAATCACTTAACAATTCTATACGATATTATTTTTAAATGTTTTTTTTTTCTTCTTCTTTTTGACCGAGTTTACACCTTCCTTCAGCACGACTTGTCAATATAATTTCCAAACGTCGTTTTACAATCACAAGCCGCATTATATTATATTATTATATATATTACTTTATGTATTATTTACGAACGGAAAAATATGTCCAGGGTAGCCTAGTGGACATGGCATCTGCCCGGTAAGCGGAACACTGTGGGTTCGATTCCCATTCCTGGACAATTTTATTTTACCGTTCATCATTACGCTTCACAATTCATCCTTTCATACCTCATCCCTAGGTTAAAAATAATCGTTATTTCTCCTTAAAATAAATTTTGATTTTTCGTTGAAAAGAAACTCATGCGGGATAGTTTTCAAATGTTGTTTTACTTATCTATCAACTCGCTAAGTGATCAATCTCATTGTGGAATTATTTGACGGTCGCAGAGAGAGACCACCTCCATTAGAGACCAGAGGTCTGTATTTAAGTTTCCTCGTGGGAGAATCAACGATAATTTTGTAATCGCCATTCTTAAAATATGCTATAAATTTTCATATTTAAAAAATTCTGTGATGTTCCTTTCAGGAGGATTAGTTTATGATTTATATTCTTTATCTTAATGTATGTTATGTTTATAACGATATGTGTATTCATAAATAATTCTTATCTTGGTCAAAATTAAAAGTATATTTTCCCTCGGAGAATTACTCTGTGATAATAACTTTAATAAAAGGCAGTTAGCGCTCGTAAAAATAAAATTTTCATTTTTTTTAATCTTCAAATTTATTTTTGCAAATTATTAATGGCCATTGAGAGAAAACTTTTATATTTTTATAACCATTATTAAAATTTATATTTTTTAAATAGATTTGAGATCAGCCATTCAATATTCAAGTTTTTAAAAAATATATTTTTAAATCGGAACTAGTGGAATAGTTAATGACGTGGTTAAAATATAGTTTGAATAAATCAGCTGTTATGGATTTCTGAAGGGTCGTTAAATATAGAATGGACTTTATTTTATAATACAATATAATGCGGTTTGTGATTTTAAAACGACATTTGAAAATTATCCCGCATGTGTTTCTTTTCAACGAAAAATCAAAATTTATTTTAAGGAGAAATAACGATTATTTCTAACCTTAGGGATGAAGTATAAAAGGATGAATTGTGAAGAGTAATGATGAACGGAAAAATAAAAAGTATCCAGGGATGGGAATGGGTTTATACCTTGGAATGTGTGGGTTGATGGGAACTTCTACAAATTTCTGCCAATTACAGTGTAACGTATATGTCGTTGGTTATCTAAATTTGTATATAAATTATTGATATCAGTATGTCTGGACTTACACACAATTTATTTATTTATATTCAGAAAGTATTAGAAGGCTATACGTTGTGGAATATATATGAATTCCTATTGTCCCATTAATTAATTCAAATATTTTTTTATCAAGAATTATATATATGAAAACAATAGAAAAAATAAATAAAAAGGTCAGGTGTTGATATAAAAAATAATGAAGGCATATCCTGACCAGGAGCACATGTGCTTTTTAGATGGCAGAGCGCCATCTACGCGAGCGCGAAACGTGTTCGTGGATGGTTTTTCTTGATTTATCAATAAAATGGGTTGTCCAAATATCAAGGAACAGGTTAAATCAATGTTTAGTTGATTCTGTTCCACTAGATGGCGCTCTGCCATCTAAAAAACACATGTGCTCGTGGTCAGGATATGTCTTCATTATTATTATATTATATATTTCTTCATTACAATATTGAAAGAATATTATAATTGTGGTGGCGATACCACGTCACAGTCGAATTGGGAGAACAACTCACTACGCATGCGCGGCCGGCAAGTGACAGCCGGGACTTACAAGCCCGCGCTCTCCAACGGGCAAACTTAATCTAAGAGTGAATAATGTGTGAACACAGAAGATGTGCGGTTTATGATTTTTTTTTTTTTTTTTGCTTATCCCTAGTAGTGGTACTGGCCATTATAATCATGGTGGATAGAAGTAGGCGACTGCTTTTACTGTAAGTGCTCCACATGTCTCTACACATGTGGAAAGAAGTTCGACTTATACACTTACAAATGTGCCAGAGCACCGTTTGGTCACTTGCACTCGTTGGTGGGGTTGGACTTTTGCAAGAACCGGGGCCCATTGGAGCATTTTTCTTTTCTTTTTAGATCAGAAAAAAGTGCCCAATGCGGGAATCGAACCCGGGTCGTAGCTGTCGAAAACCAACGGTTAAGACCATCCTTCCACCGACCCCCCATGACTGATGTTAGATGGCGGAATTGCTCTGGAATATTATTCTCCTGTTGAGATGCCGTTCTTATTCGTTGATATGAGAGATTCGAAAATCAATATCTCTGACATGAACGGAATTATACTGCAATGGTAGGTAGGGCTGTCTAGGTTGGTAAATATATTAAACAAGATGTGATTTTGACTCTCGAATCCCTCATAACAAGGAATCAATCAACAAGAAAATAGAAATTCCATTACAATTCCCTCATACATATTCAGCCATTATGTAGACTTAGCCATAAAACGAACATCTCACCCTCCCGTGTTCACTCTTTGAATTAATTTTGCTTGTAAAAGAGATAGAGTACGAAAGATTGCGGTTTTGAAAATATTTTAATATATTTATCACTAGTGAATATAACCCCGGCTTCACCCGGAATTTACGCGAGTGTAAATTTGCCTAACAAATATTTGAAAGGCTTTCCCCGAATCCCAGCTACCCACCATGTTCAACTACCTGGACAATGACATCCGATACCAGGAGTTCGAGAGGTTTCTAAATTGTTCGAGATTCCCCTAGTGGACAAAAAGACTTGAAATATCACAATATGCATCTGGCGAGCATAAAGACGTGTTTATATTACTATTGGTCCATGAAAACATTTCTCCAGCCCAGAATTCATCAGTTTTTAGTTCAAATTTAAAAGCTTTTCCAGCTTGTCTTGCTCGCGACGCTCTTCTATGCATTATTCGATATTTTTCTCCACTGTAAGTTTACCTCCTTCTTTACGCCAGGTTTCGGCCATACCTAATAGTTCGACACGGGCTTATATCCAGTTTGCCAGCTTCCAGCATACCAGGTGACAATATGGCGCAAACGTTCCACGGTGGGTAGTCCAATATAAATAAATAAATTGTAGCTCGCAGATACATGAGTCTCTCAATACGAAAGTCAAAAGTGAGCACATATTTTGTTCCTTACTTCACTATATGTTTCATTTTTGTAGCTACAGGTTGAGAAAGGGCCGATGTGTTCAGAAAACATTGCAGTAAAATTAAATAAAAACCTCTCACACACACACACAATTTTCATCCTCTTCATATAGCTTGAAAATACGAGTCCATATAAATGATCTAAAATTAGCGTCAATTTCCGTAAATTATCGACCAAACGACATTTTCCAAAGCTGCAACCGTGTAAATTCCGGCTCAACCCGAGCGTGGTCGTAATTAGCCTAATGAAATTACCAAAGAATTTCAGATTCCCTTCAATTTTTCCAAGTTCTATAAAATATAAAAATGTTATTTTAAAAGCCATTAATTAAATCTAACCAACAAAGACGGGGGAGAAACACAAAAGAATGAAGACAATTGTCGGCGATATAATTAAACAAGTAAAGAAGAAGCAAAGTAAACAGTCTCATAGAATAAGACCAAAAAGTGTATAAAGCGATATAAAAGGAACTTTGAGTGCTCGCTAAAAAAAAAAGAAAACCGTGAAAAAAAAAATTCTAGACGATGGTAAAAATTGACCCTGGGGTATTTAACGCATGCGCGCTGATATAAAAAGCAGACGGGGTTTGTGTAATGACTGATGCCATCTGTTGGTCATTTAAAGTGTCGGCTACGGCATTTTAGGAGCTCTGGAATCGTCTGTTGGGAACCTCGCTGGTAATTGTTACGCCATAGTAGAATTGTTTGCAATTTGTTTTTCTTTTTCTTTTTCTTCTTTCTTATCTCCACTCAATCATATTAGGTTGTCAAGCTTGAGACTTTTGATGGTGGAGATCTTGACAACCATCATGACTGGGTGAAGTAGAATGCCTTTGTCATTAAGACTGGAAGCACTACTCAGTGGCAGGCTGACTTAGCTCCAAAAGAAATGGCTGCCTCTGACATGAGGTGCAGCCGCCCCTAACATGGAGTACAAACGCTGCTCATCCTGTATCCCTGGAGCCCTTACAGGGTACTATCAGCCAGGCCAGCTGAGCCCAGATTTTTTAGCGAGCTTGTTACTGCTCCCCCTCCTCCTTTTTCATCCGGGCGTGGGACCGGCAAAGGCGGAATTATTTGTTATTTGTTTTTCTGATGTGTTTAATAGGTTCTTGCAGAATATTTGTTGTTGAATTATACTTTGTGTCAGTGAAATTATCGCATTCTTATGTCTTAGTTTAAAATATTTCAATGTACGATATATATGAATGATAGGAAAATAATATTTAATAGAAACTTTGTGTAATTACAAATAAAAAGACACCTCAGCCAACTGAGTAGTTAACATACTGTTGCACCAAGTTGCAGGTTCGTCGACCTTGGTTACCTCCTTCTTGGTGTTATACACCGAGCGGGTTTCCATACTTGAAGTAAAAATTACCTTTTAATGTTATTGTGTTCATTTATTCTTCCTCGTAGATCATGATCCGCAGTCTAGGTCCTCTCTCGCTCCAATAACCAATCAAGATATATCCCTATATATATAAAGGTCAGTGTATGTATGTATGTATGTGAGTATCTATGTCGGCTATACACGTCCACAATACGTAACTAATCTGACTGAAATTTTAACAGTATATAGAGTAGAATCTGGAAAAACTTATAGTGAAAATTCCAGGTCTCTATCCCGAAAGTTATTCGAGTTATTTGCAAATTGCTTTGCAAATTTGCCCTTTCGCTCGCAAGCAGCGCCTCTAGCGGTGAAGATGGGAGGTAATATCAGCTGACCTAATGTACATGTGAAACGTGTTTTAACAGGACATAGAGAAAAGTCTGAAAGAGATATTTGTCGCATTTTTAGCCAAAAAAAAATGAAATTGACAGGTTCTGGGCAAAAATATTTTTTTAGTCAGAAAATGATGATGACAATATTGCTGTATTATGTTTTATTATCAGATACAAATTTATTTCGGGATAAATTCCAAAAAGCAGAGACCACGGGTGAAGCCAGTTCATTTTTAGTATACAGGAACAAAATTCTAACAG